CTCTAATGGGGATATTTCTTTTCACACCTCGAAGGTGATTGAGCCTGTCCTTTAAAGTAAGATTTGCAAACCAGTGTCTGGCAGCTCCAATTAGCTTCTTTTCGGTTTCAAGTACATCACAAACAGTAACAAGGTCTCCTAGGACACTCCTCTTGCAAACAGCGTAGTCATATTTCCTCATTAGTTCTTTTCAATTGTCACTAATGCCATGTTCTGGCTTTTGAGTAGGAGACAAAAAAAACATAAAAACTTGGTATGTATGTAGAATGGGTCATTGTTTTCCGTAATTCAAGGCTTTTTTGAATTCCTTTGATAATGTGGAAGCTTACACAGCTTAATTCATTAACCTTTACCCTTCACATAAATCAGGTGGTTAGGAATCTATTGCTAAGAAGACAGATTTTTTTTTCTCCATCAAAACTGAGAAATACTTTCTTTTCTTAAAGAAGAAAAGAAAAAAAAAGAAAAAATCCACCTTATTTATCTCACAAAATAACCTTTCAGTTTTTAAATTTTACAAAATGCTTCAGGTGTATTTTAGACATTCTTTTTTTTTTAATTAATTTATTTATTTATTAAAGATTTCTGTCTCTTCCCCACAGCCGCCTCCCCTTTCCCTCCCCCTCCCCCAATCAAGTCCCCCTCCCTCGTCAGCCCAAAAAGCAATCAGGGTTCTCTGCCCTGTGGGAAGTCCAAGGACCACCCACCTCCATCCAGGTCTAGTAAGGTGAGCATCCACGAAACTGCCTAGGCTCCCACGAAACCAATAGGTCCAGTAGAATCAAAAACCCGTTGCCATTGTTCTTGAGGTCTCAGTAGTCCTCCTTGTCCGCTATGTTCAGCGAGACCGGTTTTGACCCAGGCTTTTTCAGACCCAGGCCAGCTGGCCTTGGTGAGTTCCTGATAGAACATCCCCATTGTCTCAGTGTATGGGTGCACCCCTCGCGGTCCTGAGTTCCTTGCTTGTGCTCTCTCTCCTTCTGCTCCTGATTTGGACCTTGAGAGCATTGTTTGTAATAGCCAGAACCTGGAAACAACCTATATGCCCTTCAATTGAAGAATGGATGAAGAAAGTATTGAATATATACATATTAGAGTACTACTCAGCAGTAAAAAACAAGGACTTCTTGAAGTTTGCAGGCAAATGGATGGAAATAGAAAACACCATCCTGAGTGAGGTAAGCCAGACCCAAAAAGAGGAACATGGGATGTTCTCACTCATATTTGGTTTCTAGCCATAAATAAAGGACATTGAGCCTATAATTCGGGTTCTTAGAGAAGAATAAGAAGGAGAACCCAAAGAAAAACATATAGGCTTCCTCCTGAATATTAACCTTCATCAGGCGATGAAAGGAGACAGAGACCCACATTGGAGCACCGGACTGAAATCTCAAGGTCCAAATCAGGAGTAGACATTCTTAAAAGCAAGTGAGTGTAAAATTATCAAAAATAATTTTGGACTCTGACTGTCTTAGAGAAGGCTTTCTGGCACATTTCTCCATTCTAAAAGAAAAAAGAAGAATATATATATAATGTATATTCATTCTCAACAGCTGTTACTTAGTAATTTACGATAGGAAGACTTTAAAGTTTTTTTCTTCACATCGTTGCTGAAGTCTAAAAGCAAGAAGATAATCTAAGGGCAATCAATTCAGAATAAACTAAAGAATATCGAAGTGAACCCAATAAATTTGATCTGGAAGAAAATGTTTACGCAGAGCCTCATTTTGAAGGAAATGAGCTAAGATCTCAAAGGAAGGTAGGAGTCTGCTCCTTGGTCCTTCACAGATGCGGCTGGGAATGAGCTCTCAGCCCCCAGGAGCAGGGTGTCATGCCCTAGCTGTTTGTGATTGCATGGAATACTTTGAACAGTTTCTGATATTTTTTTGGCATCTATTACGTCGTTTTTTTTTTCTGTTATGAATGTACCCTTTATAATCTCACTACTTTCCCTAAGGAGTTTGTGTTTTTTTCTTTTTAATTTCTATATTGTTATGAGAACTCCTGGATCTATGTAGAATGCTTGTCATGTAATAGTCAGAGATCTGTCCTTTGGGATGATGGAAACAAAGTATAGAAAGGGTGGAAACATTTTTAAATTCTAGATTCTGATTATAGGTGCTCGTGGCTTGCCTCTGTGAACCAATGTAATTTTTTTTGGGGGGGGGGCACATTGGAGAGAGTGTTCCCTTGTGTGATATACATGAATGGGGATAGGAATGGAGGCACATGGGTCCCAAATGCCCTGTATGTTTCAGTCACACTGCTCAGGACTGTCAAATTATCACCTGGAAAGCATTTTTATCTTTCAAAAGTGTTTGAAAATACCCCTCAAATTTTTCATAAGTACCTGTCATGAAAATCTATCATTTGTATTATTTGCCATTTTTTTCTACTTGCGTATTGTACAATGAGGTGGGTGTGTTCATACCAGGAACCTTTGTAAAACCGGGCAAGCGTGCTTCATAGATGTGTTACACTGTAGTGCTTCCTCTCAGTGTGTTCTGTATAAAACCGGGCAAGCATGCTTCATTGGCGTGTTACAATGTAGTGCTTCCTCTAAATGTGTTCCAGGATGGACTTTAACAGTGTAAGGGGAAAAGGTTTGTCCCTACCCTGGCCTCATCTAGACCGGTACCAGTGCCGCCTGCGAAGCTGCACGACAGAATTACAAGTCTTTAGAAACTAGCCAAGGATGAGCGGTGCTGGGTGTTTCCACCAGCTTACAATAGCTGCTTATTTTCACTGTTCAACTCTGTGTTTGCTTTAACATTGTATTAAGAATTTCAGTTTCAGTTGGAGGTGTTGGCGTATGTTTTTAATCCCAGCACTCAAGAGACAGAAGCAGATGGATCTCTGTGAGTCTGAGACCAGCCTAGTCTACGTAGTGAGTTCCAGCCAAAGATACACAAAAGGCCTATCTCAACCATCTCTTGCAAAGGGAAAATTTCTGTCTAGATTCATAGAACTTGAAAATTCTGTCATCAAATATCTCATCAATGGATGATTTAAAATTAAAATTTTTGCTGTAATCCCTTCAAGAAATAGTTTGTTTTTGTTAATGTATTACCTCTCAAGCAAATTGCATGGTTCTGCAGTATCTACTCATAATCATCTACACATCCTGTCCATCTCTCCGTCATTTTTCGGGGGGGGGGGGCATGAGAAGTCTTAATATTCCCTGTCATTCAGCTGTTCGGGGACAATCATCACCCATGGTTGTCTTGTTTACATACATGCTGGTCCTTTTGTTATGAAGCAGTGTTTGGTTCCCTGGTATAGCAGCATTCTTTCTGTTATCTGCTCCCTCCAGCCCTCTCTGAGAGTCTGTAGTGTTTTTATGGGTTTGTGGCATATCCAGTATAGACTGAAGATGAATAGCTACAACAGGAGACTGCATTTGTTAGTGTCTCTCACGGTCAGTCATAAATCAGACATCTTGATGTATTTGTATGAAGAATGAGAACAAAATCAATTACTTTTTTTATTGTCGCCACAACATATTGAATTATCTTTTTTAATCCAATTAAGGATTGTAAAATATGGATCTTTGACATTGCAGAAAGTGTTTTAGGAAATTTTGAATCATTAGGATTTGTAGTAATCTGTGGCTTTTATTTTTTATTCTTAGCATGAGAAAATTTATTAAAAGTCATATGTAATATGTGGACTTTGCTTGAACTGTTTCATTTCTTTTTTAGCATTTCTTTTTATGAACTTATTAAAATGCTACATTAAAGCCAAATGATATGAAATTAGGCTTAAAGTTTGCCTTCACAATAATCTGTGTCAATCATAATTGTATTGTGTTTTAAGTTCTCTGCTGTAGTTATGGAAAAACATGTTTTAATCATGAATCTTTTTAGGTAAAATAGCCAAAGAAGCATGTTTGCCTGGCTGCCTTGGGAATGAAATGTTTATCATTCCATTAGGACCAAATTCTATAAAAGTACTTTAAAAGAAAAATATGTCTTTCTTACTAATTTAACCTTCAATAATGAATTATACGGGATAAAATTGTATAAAATTCCCTGACATTTTTGAAGATACCTACAAATAAGCTAGGCAGCAAATGAAATATCCCAAAGACAGAGATGGATGTCAAGTGAGTTTTGATAGATTGTACACACAGGTATCAAATTGCTTGATCCTTACTTCCTAGAAAAGGTTAATGACTCTTTTGCTTTTTACCCTTTTACTTAACTGCTATCTATACAGATTAAAACAGGGACTGCATTACAGGGCACCCATACCTGTATGTCAGTCTGACAGTCCAGCTTTCTGATTATAGCGAACTGAGCTATGAATTAGGTAGCGTGGTTAACCAGTAATTTTAAAATTCATTAAATTCTCTACTCTAGTGCTGCTCGGGTTGTATTGAAAAATCTTTTAATTTAAGTAAATTTTTTAAAATATTATATGACGTGTATAGTTAATAGTCTATATAACCATTTATTTAAAATATTAAAAATGAAATATGTTTAAAGTAAAAGTTTTATCGTTCTTGTATGTTCTGGTTTTATATCCTTTATCAGTTATAGATTTTTACAATTTTCGATTTTATGTTAAGTAAAATTTCTGCAAGTGTGCATCTAATGATATCAAACTTCAGAATTAAAAAATTAGACTCTGAATAATTATCATTCTTTCAAAATAACTGTTACCTACATACTGCAATTTTAGTTATTTTATATGTGATACATTCTATATACCACATGGGTTTAATCTGCTTTTCGTACCCAAATTCACAGTGGTCTTACAGGAATATCTCCTGGATCAAACAAGGATTTAATGGGAGCGTTCAGGAACAGAACACTTAACTTGGAAGCAGAGAACATGAGACTCCCTGAGACACCTTGAATAATGAGGGGTTGGAAGCTGAGAGGACTGGGGCATTCTGGCACTACTGACCTTTGACCTCTTCTTGTGGATGTGTGGCCCGATTCTTGCTCATTTATGTGGGATGCGTTAGTGTAACACCACCACTTTGTGTGTTTCAGGTGTGTGGAGGTCATTGCAAAGGAGGGACAAAACCTGAAAGAGCTGTACTTGGTGTCCTGTAAAATCACTGATTATGGTATGTAATGATCCTTTGTCCTTAATCCTTACCCTTAGATGAATAAAGTCTTAAAGATCCTTGAGAATTATTTAAAGAGATACCACAACTGATTTAGACAATTTGTGTTCATTTATGCTAATTCAGATTAAACAAGAATAAAGGAAAAGGAATCCTAGTCTAAAAACCATAGTAGAATGCACGCGTGCCTGAGTTCACGGTGACACACAGCTCCATATATGCTCCTAACACACAGAAGAATGTGGGTTGAAGAGGAAGGATGTGAAAATAATTTTTTGGTCGATTAAATTTCTGATCTCATAAACATGAATAATACTGTCAGTGCACTGAGGGCTTTTGCTCACACTAGCACTGTGTAAAATGTTTGTCTGGTGTTGTAATGGCAAGCCTTGTTAGTGCCAGAGAGGCTCTAACAGATCTCTCCACACTGAGAGACATAGGAGGGAGCAGTGTCCATTCCCATCAGCATTGTAAGTCATTGTCTGGAATCCTCTGAAAACAGCAAGAACCACCCTGTCATATAGAGTGTGAGCTCACCCTGTTGAAATAATTACGCCTTTCCTATCTTGTTCTGCTTTATATTCTTTCCCTAGCAGCATGTATTTGACCCATATATAGTTTTAACCTGAGAGTTGTCATTCTCTGAGGGAGAAATTGTTTCCTTTTCTGACTATTTAAATTGTTTATTTAATTCTGAAATTTTTCCATCTGAGAGAACTTAATATCCCATTAAATCTTTTATTGTTAGCTTTTATATCTGCTATGACTCACTTCAATCCTAGAGTGTCATGCTGCCCTGCCCTGCCGGAGAGATAAGTACTTTGTCACATCCCAAGTTTGCCATTTAAAAAACCTAATAAAGCCACAACAGGACAACATAGAGTCTAGGGATGTAGCTCACTGACACATCATTTACCTAGTATGTATGAGACTCTATGCTTAGTTTATAGCTACTCCATCAAAAAAAGGAAAGAAATATTCAGATTTTAAATATCTTTTATAGATAAAGATTTTTTTTTTTAGAAAAAATGCTGTTTCTATGTTGTTGTTTTTCCTAATTATACCCTGTAAAGATGTGTTGATTTATCCCTAGTGAGGTGGTAGCACACTATAACCTTGCCACCACAGCTTGGTTTACTTGTGTCTCTGAATTATGTAGATATGGTTCTCAGTCCCCTCTGCATACTAGAAAACCTGCAGAATTACAAAAGCCCATGAATGTGTGAGCCATATTCAAGACCAATAAAGCAGGATTGGAGCAGCGAGTCTGGGATCATGCATAAATGATGATAATATACAACCAAACTGAAACAGCTGATCTAATCCATTTGACTTTGAAGTCAATTTAAAACTGGAAATTTTATGTCCACCTTATTTAAGGGATGTCATTCTTTTGGTTACTACATATTTCTGCTTTACCCATTGTTCAGATTGGCCAGTTTCCTCCTTGTCTCCTCTTTCTTTGTTACTAGGTATGGCCTGCTTTGGTTGGGGAACAATGATACTTTTAACAGTGTTGCAGGGTGAGTTGACTCACAAGCAGCAGCTCCCCAGGCTTATCGTTTATGATTTTTGTCAAAATTCCCACAGGTGTTGAATGTGGCTATAGTGCTGAGCAGCACCTAGCCTGGTTGTTCCAAAGTTATCTTCATTTAAATTGATGCATGACACAGTTGTCGTGCAGAAAGCCATCAAACTAATATGCTCCTAACTCCTCAAGTTAAACAGATCTTTATGGTAAAAGATAACAATCTATGAACAAATCACTAAGTCAGAACCATCTAAATGGAAAAGACAGGCTTGGGAAATTGCTCTCTGAAGAAAATTCAATACACTCACTCCTCTATTGGTGGACAGTTGTTGTAGGAAGTATTGGGGCAGGGAGGGGGGCATCGCAAGTCAGGTGACAATTCTCTTGTCTCTTCTTCATCACTCTTAAGCATAGTCCTTAATCTCTTAGTTTTGTCCTCTGTTAAGCCACATAACATGTTCCGCAGGAGGTAGTGAAAATGAATAAAAACTATCTGTGCAGTACCCACTGGTATATTGGACACTCACTAATGGTTAGTTCTTAGAGACTGCCCCTGCCACACACACACAACCCTTCTCCTCCTTCACATATAGCCTCTTGTTTGTAGGGAACATGCATTCCATCAGCAAGGAGGAAGAGAGGTCAACAGAGTCCAGTGTGTTTAAGCCCCATCACTATCTTGACTTTTATCTTCTTACTTCTCTGTATTTCTTCCTAGAAACTCTTGGTTTCTTGCATGTCTTTCTATGTTCCTAGGATAGTTTGTCAGCTAATATCTTTTTGCTTTCTTTTAATGATTACTTCTGAAAATTCTCATTCAGAGACGTGTCTATTGTAATTAAGAAGGGAACACAGAGTGGGAATCACTCTGTACCGTCCAGGTTTACAGAGGCCGGAAGCAGTTGCTATCCTGGCAGCACAGAGCATCGTAAGATACAGTAAATGGAATGTATGAAGAAAGTTCTCATCTCCACTGGGGTCTCGATACTAAGTCTTTCCTGTGCGACCCTTGTGTCAGGGGGCAGTTGTGTCAGGACCCAGGGTACCCGAGAGTTGTTAGCACATTTCTTTTTACTTTAGCCCTCCGGAGGACCCTTGGACTGATGCTCTAGACAAACCATTTTGTTTCCATTCTCAAACTGTCAAGTAACCTGTAAAGAGGACTGTAAACACTTACATACCGACATTGTAGTTGAGGGCCCTACAAGATCACTAGCACCCCCAGGGTCACTGTGTTTTGACATGTTATTTTAGTGCTGGAGTTGAGCCCAGGGTTTTGACTACTGCTGAACAACACCCCAGCTTTGCACAGTCACCTGGTGCCACTCCCCAAGCACCTCTGCTGCTCTCAGAAGCCCAAAAGTGCTCTTCTGAGCCACGTCTTTCCTGTTAAATATTGCTCTTGGTCACTTTGCTTCTCTAATTCGGGATGTTTTAATTTAAAACAAGGTCATGACACAGACTTTGGGGTCTTCAGGCATCGTTATCATGGGAGCTGTCATTTCAGTTGACCCAACAGTTACAGGACTGAGACATGTTTATTCTGTAGAATAGAAAGTCAGCATCCACAATGGCAGACCCAGTGTGTGGGGGAGACGTAGTTTCTCTATTCCTGAGAGGCCAGGGCTGCCCTTCATGACTTGAGGTTAGGGGTGGTAATACAACTCTTTCTCCCAGGAAGAAGAATGGTAGGGGTGGTCTGGGAAGATTAATCTTTGCTTTGTTATAACCCATGTTTCACCCTTGCCATACCGACCTCCTACCACTGTTAAATGATTAATGAGCTGTACTTCTCCAGCCATTCTGGGGATCCTGGATCTTTTTTGCTCTTAGTCCACTCAGATTAGGATCTGGGATGCATTAAGTAAGCCGTTCCGTTGAAGAGACAGAAGAAATCCAAAGAAGGACTGCAAGACCTGCAGCCAAAGTGCTTTTCTTTATTTAAGTCTTGTAGCCAAAATCAGTTTATTCTTATTCTTTCATCTCATTTTTCGTATTATTGGGTGTGTATTACCTGCAGTGGTGTTGCATTTGAAATAACCTTCTAGCCTTTCCCTTTGTTTCACTCTAAATTGTCTTTGAATATGCTCGGGGATTGCTGGGTAAGATTCCCCTCTTTTTGTCAGCAGGCCTGACTCTAATAGCTAGGAAGTGACAGAGAGGAACTATAGAAGGGATATTTGCAAGTCAAGAAAATACTTTATTGGTTACTGTTCTTATTCTCATTTTCCATTCTATTATTTAAATATAAATAGCATTCATTGTTGCTTGCAGAACTACTCTGCTGAACTCTGTTTTGCAAATTTTCATTTTTATATGTCTATGTAAAATTTTCTCTCTCTTCCTACTTTACTTTATTCTCCATCCTGCTTCATTTAGAAGATAAAATGATCTCTTGTCTTCTAAAAAATGGGCCTGATTCCTCACCTGAAATTTGGTGTGTATTACATTTATTTATTAGAAGAAAATGAGGGAATATGAATGAATGAGAATTTACTACCCCCCCCCCGTGTGTGTGTGTGTTTACTACAGTGTACAAGGGACAATTTGTGGGAGACAGTTTTCTCCTTCTACCATTGTGTCCATATGACCAAACTCTTGCAAAGACTTGACCTACATTTTGCTGCCCTGATATATTTAATTATACATTATCTAACTACTTTTGGTTGCTAGTAAGAATTGAATTCCTTCCTTGGTTAGTACATCACCACAAGCTTGAAATAAAAGATTGAACAATGACAGTGTTTATGCCATTTGCTATGATGAGCTAAATAATGTAGATTTAGTAAGAAGAATTTTTAAAAATATTTCTTCAAACAATACTGCTGTTTAAGGGAGAACCACCATCTTAACAATATTAAGAATTCTTATGTGTAATATTCATTTTTATTCAATTTATATCAGTAATACTTTATGGTTTTTAGTTAAATTTACCTCTGTATGTTGTATGCATTTGCTATTATTTTAAATGCATACAGAATTTTTTAAATAGATTTTGCTTATGCACAGAAAGGCAATATTTGCATATTGACTCAGTATTTTCTGTCATGCTAAATTTACTTATTAAATCTTTTATCTTTTAAAATAAAAAAATTTAAACATTCTCTATGAAAAAAATTACTACCATAACCAACTTAACTTTGACTCTACCTTTAGTCTAGAATTTAAGTTAAAAAATAGCCTAACCCATATTTTCAAAATAAATAAACTTGTTTTTATAACTATGGTGCATGAATAATCTATACCTCCAAGTACATACATGCATACAATTGTTCTTAATTAACTTTTTATGACTAAATGTTATAATTCTTCATTTAGTGTTGCCGTTATCCAAATTACAAACTTTTCCTTTTCTACATAACTCTTGTATTTTGGAAGTACCATGTTTAATTCTTATTAGCTTTTAAAAACATCATTCTTAATGAAGGAGTTTCCTTTTATAGATAAGGAAAACTTACCCCAAATCATA